ATAACTGTTGTATAGGATTTTTAGTTGATCGTTAAATGGAAGCCTCTATCGATTGTATATATCTTTCTTATAGGCACATTCCTACTTCATAAGAGATAAGTCTTTTAAATGAAACTATCTACAGATAAAACTATCTACGGATTTTGACATTTGAAATACTGTGTGTCCAAAAAGATTTTATTTAACTTAAAATTAATTTTATGAAACACAAAAGTTTTGTTGACAATTGACAAAAAAACGTTGAAAAACAACGTACCTCCGAATATAGTATCTCTTCTTTTTTTGAAGGCAGTTAAAAAGATTTATTCTATACTTTCTTAGATTTACGTGATCAGCGATTAGAGATTTTTTCGTGGATTTATTAAGATTTTTGGTTCTCGACGTTTCAAATGCTTTCCATTCATGGCTGTGGGAGAGACTCAGACTAAGTCGTAGACGTCTCAAAATCCACAATTATACAATTATTTTAAAGAAATAAGATGATATACCTAGAGGTTGATTTGTGAATGATCGAATGATTTTAAAGAGACTAGAAAAGAGAAAAAAAATTTTGACCAATTTTGTTTGTTTATTCATTATTCATAGCATTTGTTAGTACATTTACCTAAATTTTAAATTAATTATTGAAAAGCTTATTAAATTAATATGAAAATTGTTATTTAAAATGTACACCGTTGAAAAAACAAGTATCTACTGTAGGAAATTGTGACTGTTTGAAAAATATAATTAGTTTTGATATGACGCTACACTGCCAGGTCGTAAGGTACGACGTACAATGATTTAAAGCTTAAAAGTTGTTAATAGTGATCGAATTTAACATGTGATGTGTGAAGATATATTTCAAGAAATGTCAAACATAGTCTCCAATATATAAATAGGCAAAGACAAAACATCTTATTCGCGGTATCTTTTTCTCTTATGTTTATCAACCATTGTTTTGTAGCTATTGACGACGTTTAGTTTTATTAATAGATATTAAATATATAGTATAATTAATAAAAATTAAACAAATTTTGGATATATTATTTTATTATAGATAATTTGTTATATGGATAGGCAGGACAGATAGGCAAAGACAAAAAAGTTCAGTATTATTATTTATATTTTTTAATATTGGTTATGGTCCAATTTTAAATAACCACATAATAAATTAAAAGTACTACTGAATATAGGTACACTTCAAAATTATTTTAAACGTAGTAAAGTAATTATATCGTTCTTAAGGCTTTTAAAAAATATATAAATTATTTAAATTCATATACATATTATACATATGTACATACATACTTATGAACATTCGCGTTATTTTAAACCTAGGCGAAGTCGAGGCGGTAACTTAGTTTTATATAAGTAATTCTTACAAGACAACTTACTAACGGTACGTCTACTCTCATTAAATTACGACTAACACTGTTTAGTACCATTTAATCCTCACTTAATAAAGCTTTCTGGGAACTAGATCACGCCTACGCGTGTCGTCTGGTGCGGCTTCGGAGATAATTCAGAAGTAAACACGTACTAATTCTTACTTAATATATTCAGGACCTTGGTAGAGCGAAAGGCTTACGTTTAGGTTGAAACCTCTATAATATATACATACACATATTATACAATTTATATAGAGTAGGTAAAGATTTTAAGACTTTGTAAAACGTACATAGTAACCTATAGTCGAAAAATTAGAAAAAGATAACAGGACACTGCCATCTCAACACATCTTTACAATATAGGTACACGGACAGCGTCCTGTGCAGAGTGTGTTTCCAAGACAATGAAACGCCAGCTCACACTGCTAGAATACAGTAAACTGAAACCCTTACGCGAAGAAAAACTCGGCCCCAAAAGATCGCTCCCGGAAATCTTCCAGGATACCGGCAACCTGTTAGACTACTGGGACGCTCTGGGGTGGAAAGAATAACACACGAAGTAGCACAAACTCACGTACAACGGGCAATGCTGCCTAAGTACGGAAAAGCCGTGCAAGAAGAAGAAGAAGAAGATTAGAAAAAGATTTGGTTCTAGTAAACAGCGCCACCTCCTGAGTGCAGTATACCTAAAAAGTAAGAACCGTCCAGTCAACCCCTTAAATATACAAAAAAACAATCTAAATCGGCCACGTCGTTTATGAGGAGAAAAATTATGAAGAAACCAACACAAGAATTTTATATATAAAGATTTACAAAATGCCAGATTATATAACTATTTTTTTGTCTTTAATTTGCAAAATGTAGATTGTTTTAAGAAATGTTTACAAAACGCTATGATGAATAAAATCGTAGGTCTATAGTACCTAAACAAATCATTTCGTGACTAAGGTTAGAAGTTTATAGTGCTCAAACCGTCAGTTTCTTAAATTATATTGTAGACTTATAAATTTTTTTTTCTATTCTTGTGAAGGTGATACACATTAAGTAATCATGTACCTTAGCTAAAATATGTACCTATGTATATGATTTTTAATCGAAAAAAAAAACAAATCTTGCTTTGAAAAAATCCAGCTCCTGAGGGTTTTTTTTAATTTATGGGAAAACAATAAACATCCATGAGGATATAACCCCTTTATTAAAAATATAATTAAGAAAATCGATCCACAATCGGCGAAAACATCACCCACAAAAATGCAAACAGATTAATTATTTCCATCTTTTTTAAAGTCGGCCAATAATTATGAATTTAGAAATTATAGCGCATATTAAATTAAAGAAAATCCAAATTGCAATATATCAGCACGCGCGAACACATCAAGTGGAAGAAAGCGTTACTCATTCTAATAGCCAACACGTAGACCAGCATCCAACTTTGCGTCTGCATGATATATGTTATATTTTTACAGTTTCAAGAATATATTTCATTGTCAATCTCTGACTTACCGTACGCTGCATCGGAACCGGAACGTAACTGTTGTTGTGCTATCTAACGGTATATTCGTTTGCAGTACTTTTTCTTCGTGTTCACTAAGATCTGTAGCAACGGTACTAAGTGCTAACTCACTTGATGCTCGATCAATATAGTCTACTGTAGTTGCGTTTAATTACTCGATCTATACAATATTAAATATTATCTATAAGCAAATCGTTGAATAATAACTAGTGTATTTAGATACTACTAGCGTTTTCCTGCGGTTTCGCCCGCATAGTACATTAATCACCAACATATCATATACTAAAACCTTCTCCGAAACACGCTGCATCTTATGGTATGAGTATTGTTCTGATCGGTTCAGTAGTTATCGCAGTAGTAGAACAAAAATCAGGTCTCTATTTATTAGTATAGATTATTTATTTTTCTTATATGCCGAAATTCATAGGTTCGATTTTTGCACGACGGGAATAGTTAGTTACTACTTTCTCTTTCATTAATTTGATATACAATACGGGTGTTACCTTTTGAATTGATTAGTGTATAATATGTCTATATTTCTGTATGTCTGTTTCTATGTCTCGCTGGTTGTATTGAGTCTCAATCTCATATTATGTTATATCATTCACGTACGTATCCGGTAATACCTACGTTGATTTTAGTATGCCAAAAACAAAAAAAATTACGCGCATGCGCACTCTCAAAGACAATTGAATGAATACTTAACGAATGCGTCAGATAAACAGATTACTGACATAAGAAAACATTAATTTTTCGTTATATTACTGTAATTTTAGTAATATTTTTTAACTTTCCAAGATTACATGATTATACGCGTCAAATAAAATAGCTACAGTTTGAAACAAGTAGTAGGTGCTCAATTTGAGCGCATCCACCAGATCACGTCCATTGTAAATGTAAAATAACGTATTTTGTTGAAATCATAGTTATTATAAGCAATTTAGATGACACATAAAACTTAGTAGTTACTAAAATACTTTGAAGCATCTAATAGATATGCATAAAGGGGTATTTTATTGAGTCATCTACAATTTTCATTCGTTTTTCAATTTAATAGAATTGTTCATTTACGATGTAATGGTTTTTATTATAAACGTAAATAATATTTTAATTTACAATGTTGCTTTATAACAAACTAGCGGTTCGCCTCTATAAAAACAATAAGAAACCTATCCCACGGGAACCGTACATTTTTCCGGGATAAACAGTAGCCTATGTGGTATTCCAGACTATATAATAAATAATCTATCTCTGTGTCAAATTTCATCAGATCCGTTCAGCCGTTCTGACGTGAAAGAGTAACTAACATCCATACTCACAAACTTTCACATTTATAATATTAATAATGTATAGTTTAGCGTCGAGTCTTTGGAATTTCTGAATCGATTTAGATGAAACTTGGTAAGAAGATAGTTTGAAACCCTGGGAAGGACATAGGATAGATAGTAGTAGGAGATTAAGTCCCAGAAATCATCTTAAGAGGGTGAATATGGGGATGAAAGTTTGTATGTAGTTATATATAAAGAAAGTAATATAGACTTTCTTGCAATTTTTAAAAAGATGCTGACAAGCTCATATTACTACTACATTTTTAATTACAATATACGTATATATTCTAACTAAAAAAAAATTAATATATATAAGATAATGTAAATAACTTTTGATAACCCCTAAGCACGCCGGGCTATAATATAATCTGAGGCAATTTAGGGTCGATAATAATTTAAATTTAATAACAATATTATATTTTTTTTTATAAATGTAGTTAGTATAAAGAGAAAAGTTGCCCTAAAATAAATTGCAATATGATAATGTTAGTACTCCTTATCTATGTTAAGTCCGATTGAGTTTAAAGAATTTGCTTTTAACTAGATTTTGATTAACGTTTACGGTTATTGCTGATGCAATGAAGGATTTCAATACTAACAGTACTATAAAATCAAATTAAAATTACTAATCAGTCAACAGGCTGAACCAAAAAAGTGTCAAATCGAAAAAAAGAAAACGTAAAAAAAGTTTTTTTTTTTACAAAATGATGACGAATTATAATGCTTGAGAATTATTTAATGACGTATAATTGTATAGTCTGTTTCATTTTTATAAATTTAGGCTCTTGTCACATGGAACCATTTATCATAGGTGGTGATTATACTGATATAAGGCAGTATCCTCATGCTGTTTTCCTTCTAATTGATTGTGTACAAATGGTCATTTGTGGTGGATCTATAGTGACAAACAGGGTTGTATTGACGGCAGCACACTGTTTATTTGAATGTAAGATGAAGAGGAATAAAATAATTGTAAAATATGGCCATCAAATACTGGATTGTATGAAGTCGCAAGACTCAAACAAATATATCATTCATGATTCGTATAACGATATGAATTTGCACTATGATATAGCTTTGAATCATCTAGTTACTACATTGGATCTTGGTGATTTTGTAAAACGGGTGGCAATATTAAAGAAGTTTCCAAAAAATCTGGCATATGCTTACGTTTCAGGCTGGGGGGTGATTAATGTAAGTGAAGGAATTTCATCTTTTTAGTATATTTTTTCTGTGATTGTATAATTTCTAGGACACTAGGACTTTTATATAGCGTCACTCATTTGTATCTGTATGCTTATATTTAGTCAGCATTTCAATAGCTGCTTATAGGATATAAAAACCTATCATTTAAAATGATATTATAACAAATATCTTATATTTATAATTTGTCGTCAAACTACCTTTACGAACTTTGTCACGGTATTATTTTGGATTTTTGTTCTCGAAGTTTAGAATGCTACCTGGTAAACAAAGTCACGAGAGATAATCTCTCCGTATTAAAATCACGTTAAAATCAGAAAATATAGTTTTATTTAAAAGATCAAACATTCGCATATATCTCAAGAGGAATTATATTTATATAATACTACCGACTCGCCCTTGTTTCGCTCGGGTTCATACCTAGGTACGTTTAAACGGTTAGTATGGAATAGATAGATTATATATTATAATAGGTATATACGTAGGTACTAAAATATGATTTTACAGCTGTTTTTTGGGTCTTTGGTTTTTATACATAAACCACCCCTGAAACACCCCAAAAAAAAAAAAATGAAATCGGTCCAGCCGTTTTTGAGTTTTAGCAAGACTAACGAACGACAATTGACGTTTATGTAAATAGATAAATTTAATTAGCACTAATAAAAACAAATATTTTAGTCAAATTTAGATACCGCAACAACTTTAAGGCATGTTTATCAAAAAATTCTACCACAAAATGAATGTAAGATGCTAGGTTCCTGGCCGGAAGGAGTACTTTGTACTGGTTCTGCGAACGCGGCTGAATATCCGGAACAGTAAGATTGCAAATACCTTAAAATACATATTTCCCAATTTAATTCTCGAGGCTGTGTTGAGTTTTTCTATTTAAAAAACCTCAATAACAATTTGGTAGTAGTACCATAGCAGACAGCTATTAGTAAGTTAGTAATGTGCCTCGAAAAGGTAGACCCTGCGCCTGATAATATCAAATGGATATCTCATCGGTCGTGTCTGGGACCGTCCACACAAAACATAGTGGAAGTAAATCAATAATGATTCATAATAACATAATCTGTGCAAATTGTATTTGGTTATAGGTGGCATTATAACTAATATATTTTTTTTTATTCTATAGGGGAGATTCTGGTAGCGCCCTCATGGCATCGAAATACATTCAAATCGGCATCGTTACTTTTAAGCATCCGAATTTGGGTTATGTAGGCTACACGAACACAACTTACTTTTATAAATGGATAGTTCGTACTACGAAAAAACTAACATGTGGAAGTTAATAATAAAGAAAAATCTCCAAAATATGGTTATTATTTTTTCCTTCGACCAACTATAAAATTAAATAAGAAAAGGAGATACTTACTCGAGAGACTCACCCTCGCTTCGCCAAAAACAAATCTATTCCACGGGAACCGTACATTTTTCCGGGATGATATATAGCCTTCCTCTATAAATAAACTGGCTATCATTAGATATGATTGCATTAGCAAAAAGATTTTTTAAATCGGATTAGTAGTTCCTGAGATTAGCGCGTTCAAACAAACAAACAAACAAACAAATAAATAAATAAACAAACAAACAAACAAATAAACAAACAAACAAACAAACAAACAAACAAACAAACAAACAAACAAAAAAACAAACAAACAAACAAACAAACAAACAAACTCTGCCTCTTTATTATATTAGTATAGATGTAGACATGTTCACGAATAATATTGATAGTTAATTATAAATAATAATTGCTATTAATGTTATAGCTATAACGAGAAAATCATAAAACAGCAAAACAAGACATCCAAAATTAAATAATATAATTAGGTATAATATAAATAAAAGGCATTAAATTTATTTATTTTTTAAAATATCACACATCAATTTGTGTGAAACATTCAAATATAACATTTTTATTACATTTCCTTGCTTTGAATCGGTTGGCTATTGCCAGCCGATACAAATAAAAGCACACCGACTTTGAAAATATCTGATTAGGTATCTATAGTTAATTAAACCCCCATTTAATTATTTTTTACTTTTTAGTGTTTAGAGTCGGTTTTTTTTTAATTTTTATTTTTCAAGTTTTAGTATAGACGTTGTAGTAGAAAAGTAAGAAGAAATTATTTTAAAAGCAAATGTTCGAGTCATTATAAAAAAAATACCCGAATCGATTCAAGTGTGCCTATAAAATTTGATGGGTACCCTCGATTTCTTCAGGATCCCATCATCAGATTCTGACCTGATGACAATGAGAACACCTGGGAAGTATAACCCTTTTAAACAAAGAAAGAATTTATCAAATCGGTTCAGTCGTCTTCGAGTAATCGGGGAATTACGTAAAAAATAAAATATTCCGACGAATTGTGAACCTCCTCCTTTTTTGAAGTCGGTTAAAAAGATAGCGGAATGTTGTTACTAACAAGAAGAAAATTTTTCAGGAAGTGTCAAATATCAGGAAAAAAGTAGACGGGTGAAGTCGAGGTAGGGTAATATATAAATTATTCATTTCAACGATCGTAATTTGCATTCTTAATTAAAAAAATACACACAATCACGACACATCAGTGAACGTTTAATTATGCTGATTATAAAGTTCTTATTAGCAGCGACTTTAGTAAAATTAGTTAAATCGAAATATCCTATGGAAGCTAAAATTGTTAATGGAATAAAAGTACCCATAATGAAATTTGCTCACTCAGCTTTTATGGTGGTATATTTACCGACAGAAAGTTATTTATGTGGGGCGTCAATTGTCACTCAGAACATACTTTTGACTGCGGCCCATTGCATAGAATCATGTGGAATGAAATGCGCCCGCGCAGATGTATTTGTAGGAAATGCAGACAAGCGATTTGGTTATAAATTTCCTATATTACATACGATTAGACATGAAAAATACAGTCCTGATGAAGTAAGAAACGATATTGGGCTTATTTTATTAAAAAATGAGCTTCCACTGAGCAAATATATTATGAGGGTTGCATTAATGAGAGAGCCTCCAATTGAACAGACAGCTTTTCTTGCTGGTTGGGGCTTAATTGATGTAAGTAATAATTTTAGAAAACAGAATTATACACCCGGAGCCCGCCCAGAAAAATTGTCGAAGTCAAAAATCTTTTTTTACTGACGCTAAAGTTCCTAACTAGTTACTAAACAAAAAAAAAGATAATCGTATGACAAACAGAGGAGAAAATTGTAGTGAACTGTTGTTGTCTTTGCCTATTTATATATGCATATATATAGATATATTATTAACCGATAACAAAAACCGGAAGATCGTCTATCTAATTGTATTCTTCTACTACTTTGGGATTTTTTAAATTCGGGATTTCTTCGGGATTAAGAGTTATGAGTAACTCGTATAAGTATGTTAAAAATATAAATCAAAAACATTTATGTAAATTTATCAATTTTCAGGAAATCCAACATATTTCTACAAACTATTTACACTTTACCAAGCAAAAAATATGGTCATACAAAAAATGTCGTAGGAAGATATTAAGTTTGCCGAAAGGTACTTTGTGTGGTGGAGACATTCGTGGCAAGAATTATGGCGCTGAGTAAGAGAAAATGCAGTTTTTGTATTTTTTCTTAGAAATGAGATATTTTCCCGTGGTAAAAAGTATCCTATATGTTGACCCGGATAATCAGCCATCATCATACCAAATTTCATCAAAATCTGTCCAGTAGTTTTCTCGTGATGCGATAACAGACAGACAGACGGAAAGACGGACGGTCGGATGGACGGACGGACAGACAGAAAGACTGACAAAAATTCTAAAAATTATAGATTCGGACTCTGTATCGATAATAATGTCTTTATCAATTAGATTTTCCAAAAAATATTTAATGTACAGATTTGACTTAGTTACAATTTTATTATATGTTAATAATGATGATATTAATAATGATATTTTTGCAAATGGGTAACGCAAGCAATGTATGAAACCTTTTATGCATGAAGTTTGTATTAATTTTGCCATCACATAATTCATTACATATTTTATTTTCCAGGGGTGATTCTGGTAGTGCCTTAGTTATTAAAGATTACATTCAAATAGGCATAGTTTCCTACAAAAGACCAGATGTATCAAATTCTTTACTTGTCTACACGAACGTAGCATATTTCTATGATTGGATCGAAAATAATTCCAGGAAAATATTTTGTGGTTCACTATTAAATTAGTAATTGCACTTAAACATAAATATTTTTTTGAGTTGTATTATAACTTATTTTCCCATTCGAATAAGACAAGCTACCGCGGTAAAAAGTAGCCTATGTCACTCCCCAGTCCTCTATTTATCTCCACACAAAAATTCACGCCAATCCGTCACTCCGTTTCGACGTGTAAGAAGGACAAACAAACAAACACACTTTAACATTTATAATATTAAAGTATGGATTTGTAAAACACTAAAAAGAATTTTCTTTATTCGGCTAATTCATATTGTTTAAGAGCTAAATAGTTAATTACTGTTACGTCAAATAAGGTTATATTTTATCTAATGGATAGTTTGTATCTGATGATGGTAAAGTTAGTCGAGAGTAATAAAAAAATGGCATATATTTAAAATCAATCTCAAACAATGTAAATATCAAGATATTCGCGATTCAAAAGATTACATGATTTTGTGAAAGGAAATATAGTAATACTTATCTTTTATAAAACTATAAAATTCTATTTTAAAAAGTATTTCTTCTATTAACTTCTATTTAAAAAAAAACCAAAATTGTGACAACAACCAACACCGTATAAGTACCTATATTAGAACAATTAATTGAAACTATACTCGAAAACGTTTCAAACAATGTAATAGCAGAATACGCACATACTCGTAAAAGGTTATTTATTGCGTAGTTAATTAGTAAAAGATTATGAATTTACACATAAACTCTCGTAATTAGCAATCCTAATGAAGAAAATGCTATCATTGTAAAACTATTAGTCTTCAGTTATGTTGACTAGTAACATTTTACTGGCAGCGATTTTAGTGAGATTAGTCGAGTCAAACTTTCTTTTAGAATCTAGAATCGTAAATGGCGAAAATGTACCGATAACAAATTTTGCTCATTCGGCGTTTCTGATGGTTTCTGAGCCGAAAGGGATATTTGTATGTGGGGCATCAGTTGTCAATCAGAATATACTTTTAACTGCTGCCCATTGCATTGATACGTGTGGAAAGAGATGCCCGGATGCATCAGTATATGCAGGAAATGCTAACAAACGGTCTGGATTTAAAATGGATGTTTTAGGAACTGTGATCCACGAAAATTACAGTTTTAATAAAATGATTAACGACATTGGCCTTATTTTACTTAAAAATCAGCTTTCACTGAACAAATATGTTAAGAGGGTTGCATTGATGAAAAATCCTCCGGTTGGAAAGACAGCTTTGATTGCTGGATGGGGCTTAGTTGATGTGAGTTTTTCTAATATACTATGGCGTTGCTCGACTATCCTTAAATTTTCTTTTCATGAAACTAATTATCTTAATAGACATAATATGTATAATACATAAAGCCCCATTCGTATACTGATGTAAGCAACACGTTTCTACATACATCTATATACGTACATGTAAAAAAATTCTGAGTCGAATCTGCATATTAAATAATTTTTGGAAAATCTTACTGAAATAGTTATTATGTCCACGAGAAAACCACTGGACAGATTTTGATGAAATTTGGTATGATGAAAACTGGTTATCCGACTTAAAAAGTTATTTTTAAATACAATCTATTTGCTTATATATAAGTGTGTATATATATTTATCAAATTATTTACACCAGGAAATACACCTTGTTCACACGGATCATTTACATTATATCAAGCAACATATATGGCCGTATGAACAATGTCGAAAAATGATAACAAATTTGCCTAAAGGAACTTTATGCGCAGGAGATGTCGAAAACGATAAATATGCTTCAGTGTAAGAGATTTTACCTATTCAATATTGTTAACAATACCAATTTCCGAAAATATATCTGTCTTTCCCTTGTTGGCTAGAAAGAATTCTCGTTACTAGATCCAGCTAAAACTTTTACAGAAGATTATTGTGACATATAATATATTAATCTACTAATAATACCTACCTCGTACATATAATAAGATTCTAACTGAGTCGAATCTGTTCATTAAATATTTTTTGGAAAAACTTATTGAAACTTTCATTTTTATCGATACAAAGGCCGAACTTATAGTTCATAGAATTGTTGTATATCTGTCTGTCTGTCTATCTGTGATCGCATCACGAGAAAACCATTGGACTGAATTTGATGAAATTTGGTATAATGATAGCTGGTTATCCTGGTGAACATATAGGATACTTTTTACTGCGGGAAAATATCTCATCTCTGAGAAATCTATACTAAATGTTAAAACGTAAGTAGGGACGAACCCGAGCGGAGCCAGGGTGAGTCGCTTGTAAAAAATAACGTCAATAAAATATAATATACATGCTTATAAACAAGCTTTAAGCTCAGCGTATTTATAATGCTACCTTTAAAGTAGAACAAAGGATAATAAAAAAACTGGTCAAGCTTGAGTTGGACCCGCAACAGCGTTATCTTATTATTTAATAACAAAAATATATAATATGGTAATACAGAACCCTCTGTGTAAAGCACAGGTTAATTTTACTTTTCTTTCCAGGGGCGATTCTGGCAGTGCCTTAATTATTCATAAGTACATCCAAATAGGCATAGTCTCATACAAAAGACCAGATGTATCGCTTGCCATTGTCGTTTACACGGACGTTGCATATTTTTATAAATGGATCAAAATAAATTCAAGAAACATGTACTGTGAATATCATAAGCGTTAAGATCTATAATAAAATTTATTTGTATAACATTATTAAGATTTTCAATTATTTGAATGTTTTACTAATCAAAAGATTCTATTTCTTAAAACTAAAACTAACCTAACCTCAAGTAAACCATGAAATACATAGTTGAAAATTTGTGTTATTTGGCCTTGTCGAGGGGCTCATTCGCGTCCGGAAATGCATTCCAAAGGAGTGGGGTCCGAAGCCAAGAGAAGCTAAGCTTGGAAGGCCGCCCATCTCGGTAGGCATTGCACCATGACTCATGAGGGTTGCTTCTACGTTTGGTACTTTTCTAGTAAGATAACAGTGGACCGTGGAGCAACCCTTTGCTTATTCTGATCTGCTTCGGCAGATACATTCAGGTAGTATGTATAAATGCATACTTTCATCCTATATGTTGATCCGGATAACCAGCTATCATCATACCGAATTTCCTCCCTCCAGTGGTTTTTCTGTGATGCGGTAACAGACAGACAGACAGACAGACAAAAATTCTAAGAACTATAGATTCGGCCTCCGTATCGATAATAATGTCTATTTCAATAAGATTTTCCAAAAAATATTTTATGTTCAGATTCGGCTTAGTTACAATTTTATTATATGTATACATATCAGTGATTTGATTTTTTTATTGTATAATTTAGGATGTCCAAAAACAACCTTTTTTTTCTAGTCTCTTACGAAAATATGTTAGTTTATCGTGTTTTAAGAGGTCGCTCAAAATTTTTAAAAATTTCCAAAATCGTTGAAAATCCTTTTTTTTATTTATTTTTTTCTCGATATTTCACTATTTTCTACTATAAAAATGATAAAGATTCTGAAATTAATAAGTCGATATTTTAATATTTAACCTTCGCTTTTTTTTAAGTTCCCAACCTACCTTAGACCTTTTCGAGCGACTTCTTCGTCATTCACATTCAACGTCACGTTTTGACTTTATTTATTTTTTTAAGATTATTCTAAATATTTTACTTTTGATTCTAAATATTAATTTGATTATGAAATAAATAAATTACAGATACATGACCAGACAGTTACACATACATACATACATAACATGCAGATGCAGTAACCCGTATTATTATGTATATATAACTATTAAAGCCAGCTTTGCAGAAAACAATAGAATTAATGTTTGCTTGGGGTGTCTGCCCATGTAACGGATGTAGTACTTATTTTTCCAGCAAGCAAATAAAAATACTATGATTTTAATTATTTTGATCACACGTTTGGCACAGTTTGTAGTGACTCTACTTGCCGTGCCAGCGGTCGCGGGTTCGAGTCCTGCTGGAGGCATTAATTTGTGTGATGAGCGCGAATTGTATTTCAGTCATGGGTGTTTATATTTATGATATGTATGTATTTAAAGTTATATATGTGTAGTGTATCAACTATCTGGTACCCATAACACAAGCCTCTTACCTTACAATGGAACTAGATTGAGCTGTGTATTAATGTCCCAACATATTTATATATAATTATTCCAATAACCGATTTATTTGAAAGGATCGTAAATTTTGTTTATTTAGTATCTAACTTTATACATAATATCTAAATTAAACGTAGTAAATTTTTAAAATCTATATTAAAGAATAATACGAATGTTCGTATGTATAAAACTATAAATATCCGAAAATTTAGACCCATTTAAGTTTTTACACGGACTAAATGTTTACGGTATCAATTTTACAGTGACCTGTCTCTAGATGGCGCTATGATACACATTTCTTTAATATGAATTGGATACATTTTAGCCATATGCTTGGTGAATATTTTCGCTTTATACTTTTGTATGTAATCTCTGCTAGATTTAACTTAGACTGAGCAAAAGTGTCTTTGTTAGTTTACGTTCTTTTACGCACTAGAGAAGCAATGGATAGAGGTAGCTATTTGCATATATAGCTTTTGAACTCAGAATGACTGAGATGAGTCACGGACATTGAGTTGTCACGGGAACTCATTTTTCTAAAAAAGAGTCAAAGTGTGTTTGTTTGTTTGTTTGTTTGTTTGTTTGTTTGTCTGTCCTTCTTTCACGTCAAAACGGAGTGACGGATTGGCATGATTTTTTGTGTGGAGATAGTTGGAGGGCTGGAGAGTGATATAGGCTACTTTTCACCGCGGGAGATTATTTAATTCCCACGGGAAACACGTTATAATACAGTCCAAAAAGATATTTATTATCAGAATTACTTGAAACTTGATGTTAATATTCCTCAATTAAATTAGATAAATACGTGTTTTAGCATTTTTCGAAATTTATCCTATAAGGGGGTAAAATAGGGGATGAAAGTTTGTATGAAACTACTTTTTTAGTTAGACATTTATTTTGTAGTTTTAGCACGAGCGAAGCCGCGGGTTCTGCTAGTTTATTATACAGGACATATTTATTGAAAAAAACTTATTTAAGAAAGCCGAGTAAAACACGGCGTGGCACTAGTATGTAATATTTAGTTACTTTTGCGGCATCATAAATAATTTAGCGAGTCAAATTAATTACACTTAAAATTTTAAATTTATTTTCCTTATAAAACGTCTATAAAGCGGTTTTATAGGCTAATTTCAACTACCAATTAAGAAACCGAATTAGTGATTTAAGGATGTTATGCCTTTTAATTTTTATTTTATTCGTTGAAACATGTTTCGGTTTGTCCAACTCTAGTAACTTGGAAAGTAGGATAATAGAAGGATGGAAAATGGATATATATCGATATCCTCATTCGGGTTTTATGTACTTTAAAAAAGATTTACCTACTGCATGTGGTTCTTCGTTAATTCTGGCCCAAGCTGTGATTACCGCTGCGCATTGTATGGAAGATTTACAGTATCACGGAGGCAAAATATTTATTTTCTTTGGATCTGAAATACCAAAAAATTCAAAAATTATTAGAATAGTTGTGAACTTTCGCATTCATCCCAAATATGAGCGGAAGAAAGGCAGATTTAACTTGGCTATTGCATTTCTTAATCATGTAGTGTCTTTGGGTGATAGTATAAATAAAATACCTATTGTAGCAACTCCTCCTAAGGTTAACGATGCTTTATACACGAGTGGTTGGGGAAAACAAGTGGTAAATATTAATTGTTATACATTCATATAACTTTAGATATATATCATGTACAATGTACAAGAATCCTAAATTATGCGCTTGATATGGATCCGTATATATAATAAAATACAGGTTCTTGTCAGGGTCATTCGCATTTCTGTCCGTTTGTTTGTAAAAAAATATATTTTCTTGACCAATAAATTAAAAAAACAAAAAATATACAAAAAAAAATTGGAATATTTAATTCAATTCTCTTGCTAGTGGTTTCAAAAAATTGAAATATGAGAAACTTTCATAAAAATATATATAGGTATACTTGTTGACAATTTCGTAAATACACATTAAAGAAAATTAAAATTTTTGCCTCCACACAATATAAATACCAAATGAAAGTCTCTTTATAAGATAATAACTAACTGAAATTCGAACTCTAGAAATTCATATTTTTTGATGATGAAACCATCCCTGATATTGAATACTCTTCGAATTTTGTCAAAATATGTATGAAACATAACAGTCTAAGATCCCGATCTATGTGGTGGACCCCTTACTCTTTTTCCAGACGAAATATATTTTTTAAACCATAAAACATATTAACAAAAATTGCACCAGGCTATTTTTTACTGAAAACCCTCTAGTCTGTAGATGTTTTGGTATAAAACCCTATATCATTAAATTTGTTATAAAATTATCTACAATTTGATACTTGGTTCGTTCCGGAAAACTTTAAACTAACGCGTAAATTAACATTTTACTAGTTTATACCTGGATGTCAGGTAATGAGTTTGAAAAAGGCCACCAAATGTATGGTGGCATTTTCTACAAGTATTTTACTTTCGATTTATACTAATTTGTTATAGGAAAAGACTTCTTATACTTAAAAAAAAAAAACAATTAAAATATTTAATTAAAAAAGGCCTAGAGCAAATTTTTGGCGACAACTCCCTTGGTTCGTGTTTGTTAATATTTTATGGTTTAAAAAAAATCGTCTGGAAAAATAGTGAGGAGTCGTGTCCACCACATAGATCGGGATCTCCTTTTTTTTTTTTTTAACGTT